CTACAACTCGAAACAACTCTATTCCAGATGTGTGTTTGCGGGATTCGCTTTTTTTGTCCCCATCTTGCCCACCCTAGTAGGCCATGGACCGCACAACTGCCAGCATGGTACGGTAGCCTGTGGCCACGAACTAGCGTACAGAAACCCGGTACCGGTACCCACCGCCTCGCTGCAGACACTGCGACTGGGAGTATCATAGGCACCGGTAGTCGATATGCTGTCGCTTTGCTTCGCCACGGGTGACCGCCGTCGTCCACTTGTCAGGGCCGGCGGGTGCTACATCTTTGGCCCTATAGGAGCTCGCGACTGTCGACATTCCTCGGGAGCGCATTCTCACCAGGACAACGTCAGGCGCTCCTAAGCAGCCAAGACGATGGGTGATATTCCTGGGGGTAAGAGATGGACGCGGGTCTCAGAAGGACCGTGCCAGCTCGATATATGCATGTTTTGTGTTTAGACTTGAAGACTTAGCCGTCAATGCACGGGTTTACCTTCACCTATATAGTCTAGGCCGGGGCACACGAAGCTTCCTCTTCCACACACAGTTTTACCCGCCGCCAATACCTCGTCTCGAGTATGTTGTTCAAGAATCTTCTTGGGCTTGCCGCTTGCGCAAGTTGGGCCTGGGCAGCACCTTTGGCTATCGACAGTATTCTTCCTCGCGACACCAACGTCGATGGCTGTCCTGGCTATGCGGCATCCAATGTAGTCACCACTGACTCTACCCTCACTGCGGACCTGACCCTCGCTGGCGCCGCCTGCAATGTATATAGCGATGACATCAAGGATTTGAAGCTCTCAGCAGAGTACCAGACTAGTAAGCTTCATGTAACCCACATTTTGCAGTCCAACGAGCATATAGTAACACAATGAAGATGAGCGTCTCCATGTAAAGATTTACGACGCGGCGCGCTCCGTCTACCAGGTTCAGGAGGAAGTTCTACCTCGCCCCAAGAGCGGGAATGCGACCTCTTCGGGCGCGGCGCTCAAGTTTGACATTGTAGAATCACCTTTCTCTTTCAAAGTTACACGCAAAGAAAACTCCGAGGTTCTGTTCGACTCGTCCGCTGCGCCAATCGTCTTTGAGAAGCAATATGTGCGTTTGCGCACCAGCTTGCCAAACGACCCCAACATCTACGGCCTTGGCGAGCACAGCGACTCTTTCCGCTTTCACACTGAAGATTACCAGCGAGTCTTGCTGAATTCAGAGTCGCCCAACATCCCCCAAAAGGCCAATCTCTACGGAACACACCCAATCTACTTCGATCATCGTGGCGACAAGGGCACCCATGGCGTCTTCCTACTCAATGCTACCCCCATGAACATTGACCTCAAGAAGACCGCAGAGGGCGCTCAATACCTTGAGTACAACACTATTGGTGGCATCATTGATTTGTACTTTTTGGCGGGCAAGCAGCCTGCCGAGGTGTCCAAGCAGTACGCCGACGTGGTTGGCTACTCTGCCATGTACCCCTACTGGACATTTGGGTTCCACCAGTGTCGATTTGGTTACTGGGATGTCAATATGGTGGCTGAGGTTGTGGGCAACTACTCTACCGCTGGAATCCCACTCGAGGTCATGTGGACTGACATTGACCACATGAACTTGCGCGAGGACTTCACCGTTGATAAAGAACGCTTCCCAATGAGCAAAATGCGTCAGCTTATTGATACGCTACATTCGCGCGATCAACGCTATGTCCTCATCCTGGACCCTGGCATTCACGCGGTCGGCAACTATTCCACGTACCAAAAGGGCCACGACATGGACGTCTTCCTGAAGGCTGCCGATGGTACAGATTCGCTTGGTGTGCAGTGGCCTGGCGAGGTCGCTTGGCCTGATTGGTTCGCGCCCAATACGCAAAAGTGGTGGACCGATGAGATTGTATCGTTCTTTAACCCCGAGACTGGCATCGACCTGGACGGCATTTGGGTTGATATGAACGAGGCCTCAAACTTTTGCGAGGATCAGACTTGCAACGCACGCCAAAAGGCCATCAACGACGGCATCCCACCGAAACCTACGAATCCGCCACGTCCCAATACTGGTCGTCCAATTCCCGGCTTTCCCCTAGAGTTCCAGCCCAACTCGAACAACACGAAGCGGGAACTCGCGCTACGCCAGTCTGAGGGCCACATGAAGGGTCTCCCTGATCGCCAGTGGTTCTCTCCAAAGTATCGCGTCAACAGCCATAGAGGGGACATTCAACAATTCACAATTTGGACCAATACTTCAAACTACGACGGTAGCTGGCAGTACGACACTCACAATCTCTATGGGCATATGATGGCGTCTGATACTTACAAGGCCATGGAGACGCGACGCCCCGGGCTCCGGCCCTTTGTGTTGACACGCTCGACATTTGCTGGTACTGGTCGCAAGGCTACCCATTGGTTTGGTGACAATATGTCAAGCTGGGAGCACTACCGTACTTCCATCCGTCAGATGCTTGCTTTCGTTTCCATGCATCAGATGCCCATGGTTGGTTCAGACGTCTGCGGCTTCAATGGCAATGCCGACCAGTGGATGTGTGCACGCTGGGCTCTCCTGGGTGCATTCCAGCCATTCTACCGCAACCATGCCGAAATCAGCACGTTCCAGCAGGAGTTTTACCAATGGCCCCTTGTCACCGAGGCGGCCAAGAAGGCAATCGACACACGGTACAAACTCATGGACTACATTTACACCGCACTGTACTACCAGACGACCACGGGCACGCCCATGATCAACCCGCTCTTCTTCAAGTACCCCAACGATGCAAACACCTTTGGCCTCCAAGACCAGTGGTTCTACGGCGACGACCTCCTCATCTCGCCTGTCGTAAATGATTACTCGGACAACGTCACCTTCTACCTGCCAGACGACTTATTCTACGACTACTGGACCGGCGCCCGCGTCCAAGGCGAAGGCAAAAACGTTACCATGTCCGGGGTCGGCTTCACAGATATCCCCGTCCACATTCGCGGCGGCAGCATCATCCCCGTCCGTGAGAACAGCGCAAACACAACCAAGGCGCTACGCAACGAGCCCTTCAAACTCATCGTTGCCCCCGACGCCCAAGGCAATGCGAGCGGTAGACTCTACCTCGATGACGGCGAGAGCCTCGAGCAGCAGGCCGTCAGCGAGATTACGTTTGAGTACTCCATGGGCAAGCTCAAGGCCTCGGGTGCATTCGACTACAAGGCCACTGGCAGTGAGAGCATCACGGTAGGGAAGGTTGTAGTGCTCGGCCAGAATGGTGGCGCTTCCAACGGTGCTCCGAATCAGGCTGAAGTCACTGGGCCGTGGAAGATGGACGGGGGCTTTGAGGTTACCGTCTAGATTGCATCTGGGTTGCATGAGTTGCATGGTTGCATATACGGCGGAGTTTTGCTTGGATTGGATCGGATTGGATTGCACAACATGGCATGGGTTTATGGGGTATTAGACACGCGTTGTCAATTCGTCACTCTTTCTTTTCTCTTGTCCATAGTTTTCTCTCATTGATACCCGTCTAAACCGTACATACACAATCAATTATTTCAGTCTTGCTCTAGCGTATAAACCTTCCCCAACCCTTCATTGAGTTTAAGAGTACATACAGTTCCCCCCCCCCTCCCTTCCCGAGCCGTTTGCGTACCCTACCGTGCGGGTCTTCCCTTCCCTTCCCTTCCCTTCCCTCCCGCCTTCAGAAAAATAACAAACAAACAAAATCCCAAAAATACAACATACAAAAACTCTCTGCATCACCGCCGTCCCACAACCACAGCCCGGCCGCGTCGTGCAGGTTAGCAGTGGTCACAGCGCACACGGCGTAGCCCGTACAGCTCTAGTCTCGCAAAAACCCTTCACAGGGCATGCACGACGACGCACGACGCCTTACCCCGGAAATGCGTCCGCAGGGCTGGTGGGTTGTATGTGTGACTTGGGCGTCAGGTTGAATGTTTATTCTGACTCTCGGCGGGGGGAGGGGGGGTTGAAGTTGGCGGTGTGCGAGGTCAGGTGGGTGGGTAAGCCACGCGACGGTGGAGTGTCACGAGGCTGAGACTGGGCGGTGGTACTTGTACCGTTCGTCGTCTCAATCCGACCGCTGCTATGACATCGGTATAGCGCGAGAGATGCGCATTCGCGGATTTTCTTTTTGATATCGTCGTGCCGCGAGCACAGGGTGGTGTCGTGTGGTCCCTTTTTTTTCTTCGACGGCGTGGCGGTTTGCGCATGCGCAGAGTTTGTACCGTTGTGTATGCAGCTGCATTCTTCACTGGCGCTGTCTGGGGTTGAAGATGGCGCTTCCTCAGTCTGAGCCTAGGCTTGTTGTTTTCAGTTCCTCTCTTACGCTGTTCAGGCTGATTTCCTCGACGTCTGCACCGAGCTCGATCTGTTGTTTTGGTCTTGCTTTATTCAGGCCCTCGAGGAGGACACAGGCTTTGCATACGTCTTGGCTGGAGAGATACCCGCATTTTTTACACTGGCCCATGACTTGTTTTGTGATCTTCTTGGGGGTGTAGAATTTCTTCTTCTTGCCACTGGTAGCTGGCGGTGCGCTGCCGTTGGTGAGACTCTTAGATGTAATTTCTACCTCAAGGTTGCTGTTGGCTGCGACTTCGTTTTGTCTTAGTTGTGCGTCCATACTCGCCATGTCGCCGCCCATACTCTTGCCTTGGGATTTTCCACAGCCTCCGTCTTCTTCCTCGGCGGCTGGTACATTGTTCGAGCAGGCGCCCCCGCAACTGTCGTCGTTTCCTGGGACGAGTTTCGCCATGTCTTCGCCGCTCCTGACGACATCTAGGATAGCGCTAGGACGTACACGCTCGAGGTTCTTGATCAAAGCACGTGCGCTGCCTCGGAAGGCTTCGGGCGAGTATATGCACTCTGTGCTGAAGTAGTCGAGCTTTTTGTGGTGGGCGTAGAGGACAATTTCCTTTTCGTATGCGTATTTAAGGGGTTTGCTGCGCCTGACATTTGTGTTTGAGGCTGGGTCGGACGAGGCCGAGGGCGTGGAGGTTATGATGGAGGTTGTGCGGGAGAGACGGGGGAGGTCACCACGAAGTACTATTCTCCTCTTAGCAAAGAAGAGCCTTGCGTAGCATAAAGAGACTTACAGTTCATCAGCACCGTCTCCGCGACGTCATCAGCGTTGTGACCCGTAACCACATGCCTAACGCCCAACCTCGCCGCCCCACGATCCAGCGCTTGCCGTCTAAAGACACCACAATATGTACAGTTGCCTTTCTTGCCCACTTGCTCAACCACCTGATCCATCGTCCACCCATACAACTCCTCGTATCCCAGGATCGTCAACTCCATACCATACTGCTCCGCATTCCTCTTCACCGTCTCTAAACTATCATCTCTATACCCTTTGATGCCCTCATCAATCGACAGCAAAATAAGATCGAGGCCATAGTCGTAGCGTTTGTTGAGTGTTTTGAGGACCGAGGCAAGCACAGTGCTGTCTTTGCCTCCCGAGGCACCGATTGCGATTTTCTCGCCGCGCGTGAAGAGGCGATTTGTGGTGATTGTGTGGTGGATCTCCGTCTCGAAGACGGTGATAAAACATGTCTTGCAGAGTTTGGAATGGTCTTTGGGACGCAGGATCAGGGCTCGATTCACCTTGCATAGGGCGCAAGGAGAGGGTGGCATGGCGGTTGGTGTGGGCGTGGTTTGGTGGGCTGGTGGGGGAGAAATTGAGGCATGGGTTTACGCGAGTCATTTTTAAGATGACCGCGAGTCATGCAACAACGCTACATCTGCACTTGGTACTTCATGTAGCTGAAGAACTTCCAAGCTCGTTCTAGATAACATGGATAAAGTATCATCAGGCGATAAAAGAGGGAAGAAATTCATGCGTGCAACGGAGAGCTCTGGTCAATCTTTATTCAACATGGCTGTCTAATCATTGATAATTGACTACAATGGTACAGCCGCACCATCACCCCTCAAATCACTACCACCGCTCCATACCTGTATACCGTCATCGACATGACGTGGAATGATCTGGCCTCGTCCAAACATGGCACGGCCATAGCCGGTCAGCTGCTGAACGTTGTGGCCCAGTGCACGCAGCTCCTCTACAACCTTGGGATCGATGCCTTCTTCCAAGTAGATGGTAGCATCCGACCTCTTTCCATCGTCGCCAGGCATGCCAGAACCGATACAGAACCGCGGTGAGTCTAGCGCAGCTTGTGGATTGAGTTTGAACACTTCCTGGTTCAACAAGACTTGCACATGGCCTTGAGGTTGCATGAACCCGCCCATGACACCAAATACTGAATGCAGGCTGTTGTCATTAGCAAATGTTGTCAGGCCGGGGACAATTGTGTGGTATGGTCGCTTTCTTGGTGCTAGCACATTGGGATGACTTTTATCGAGACTAAAATTCGCGCCGCGATTCTGCAGCGTAAAACCGCAGCCTTTCGGAATGATACAATTACCAAAGCCTCCATAATTGCTGTTGATGAAGGAGATGGCGTTGCCCTCTGGATCTGTACAGCAAAAGTAGACGGTGTCGCTTCGCATATGTGCTGGCGAGCCGTGGATGGGTGCAGAGGCAGCCTTTTTAGCATCAAAGAGTTTTGCGCGCTTGGCCAGATACTTTTCCGAGATGAGTTCGGCAGAAGGCACCTTGACAACGTTGGGATCCGTGACAAACCAGTGTGCATCAGCAAAGGATATACGCAGCGCTTCGATCAAGGCATGCAGATGTGCCGTGCTGTTGTGATCCTTGTGTTGCCATCTTGAGATTTTGCCTTGCTTTTCCAGTTCCTGGATGATACCCAGCGCCATCAGGGCAACGATTCCCTGGCCATTAGGAGGGTGCTCCCATAATTCGATACCTCCATTCGTGCTATCTCCTACCCCTTGGCCTGTGTATTTGAGCGATATGGGATCAACAGCTTCAGATCCAGTCTCGGCGTGATGTTTCAGATCGTCCAGGGTGAGATAGCCGCCCAGATCTGCCACGACCTTGATGATCTGCTCCGCCACTTCGCCCTCGTAGAAGCCCTTCTTACCGTCTTTTGCGAGCAGCTTGAAGGTCTTTGCCATGGTAGGAATTCTCATGATTTCTCCTGCTTTGGGCGCCCTACAGCCATCCAAGGCCGAAGGGTCTTTCTTGAGCATCTCGTGGCCATTGGGCGATGCTTTCCGAAGATTCTTCTCACTATTCTGCCACTGTCGGAAAGTTAGGTTTCGTTTGGGAAAATCAAACCTAAAATACCTACAAACGTAGCAGCTAACTCTGACACAGGAAAGCCGTTCTCGGCAAGGTCAATGGCAGGTTCGAAGATCTCCTGCATGCTGACCTTGCCACTTCCGAAGCGCTCGACGCAATCAACCCATCCAGCCGCTGCACCAGGGACAGTCGCTGAATGTACACTATCCATTGCGATGTTTCCAGTCTCCCCTTCAGCCAAATCGAGGGCTTTTCGCATCCTCTCAAGCGTCATGTTTTGGCCTGAACGACCCGATCCATTCATGGCAGAAATCTTTTTTGTTTTGGCATCGTAATATAGGCAGAACATGTCACCACCAATGCCCGTAGAGCTTGGCTCTGTAACATTGATAGCCGCAGCTACTGCCACGGCTGCGTCCTGTGGTTGTCAATGATGGATTGTGACCAGGAGTGGTTACGTCATACTGCTGCGTTTCCGCCTTTCTCTAGGATCTTGATACCAGCAGCAGCCGCGAGGGGTTGTGTACACGAAACCATGCCTTTAGTACTGTGTACGACTGAACGCCGGCTGGCAAAGTGGGAGAACTGGGGTTCAGGGTGGGGGTAGACGTTATGGGCACTCATGCTTGCTGTTTGCTCGGTGTCGTGATGAACCTTGGATCGTTTGCTTCTTCGAGGGGTCGACATTGACGATGATTCCGCTCCCAGGTTGTGAGAACATGGCCTTCTGGCATTGAAGCACGCGGCGTCGAATGTTTAACACTGGTGGACGGCTATTGGCGGAGTACCGGTAAGTTACCGTAGAGGGTGCCCGCACAGGATGCCGACTTCGCTCGGAAACAAGGCTCGGAACGCTTCAGGTCAAGACTGCACAAGCTATCATGACGCATACACAGACGTCTGAAGGTGGCTTTGACGCATCAGGAAGGTCAATTGGCACAGCAAGCTCCAGGCCGATGGTGAAAGTCGACGAGGGCTGAAGAGTCACGTGTCAACGCGCTCGGGCGATATTCGGAAAGCGCGTCACAGGTCCCCAGTTTTCTAGCAAGCTTCAGAATCTCAACCTACCCACGCCCCAGAGAATGACAGCTGCGCCATGGATATGTCGCAATTGCACTTTGCGTATCGTCCAGCCCCTTTCGAAACGTTTTATTCGCCTCCAGTCGACATGTGAGACCGTTTAACTCCCGGGCACTGTCCAAAGACACAAGGACCCCGCTGACGTAGTAGAAGCTGCAATATCAGAGTCGGTACCACCAGCGCTTCTTACTCGAGCCCGCACAGTCGCTTTAGAGCATAAACAGTTGGCGGCGAAGCTTAACGATGGATTTGATACACGCATTGCAAAGAAGCTGGGCGAGTACAGCCCCATTGTGAATGCTTTGGGGAAATGGGACAAGGCCAACGAGGTATGCTCTGCCAATAACGTTTGGTATGGCGAACGGTCAGCTGATATGGACTAAAGTCGGTCACAGAGCTCACATCGTTGATACATGACTCCACGACGGATCCTGAACTGCGGGAACTCGCTGCAGACGACTTGATTGAGACACGGGAGCAACTCTCTGCGGCTTCGCAAAGTCTCATCACGGCCCTCGTACCTGTACATCCATTTGCTCATTTGCCATGCCTCCTCGAACTCCGTCCAGGTGCAGGTGGCTCAGAGGCCGCCATCTTCGCAGGGGATCTCTTCCGCATGTACTTGGCGTTTTGCAATCGCAATGGCTTCCGTACAAACCTGCTCAAGTATGAGAACATCAATGGCACGTCAGAAGCCGGAGTGCCTCTCTCAGAAGCCGTCTTAGAGGTGGAGAATGACAATGCGTATGGAGTTTTTAGGTGCGAAGCGGGTGTTCACAGGGTGCAGCGAGTACCGGCTACCGAAACAAAAGGACGCACGCACACGAGTGCAGTATCGGTACATGTATTACCGAGCTTACAGGAGAACAATTCCTCAGAAGAGAATTTTGATGATCCTGACAGCGACTACTACATCGATGTCAAGGAAGTCAAGGTCGAAGTCATGAGGGCAAGCGGTGCAGGAGGCCAGCACGTCAACAAGACCGAGTCGGCTGTGCGACTTACCCACCTGCCGACCAACACAGTGGTCGCCATGCAGGATTCCAGATCACAGCACAAGAACAAGGAAAAGGCGTGGGCCTTGCTACGCTCGCGTATCGCCCAATCGCGGAGAGAACAGCGAGAAGAAGAAATATCTAACATGCGCCGGAGCGTGATTGGCGTAGCGAAGATGGGGCGCGGTGACAAGGTCCGCACATATAATTGGGGCCAGCAGAGAGTGACCGATCATCGAAGTGGGCTTACGGTGCACGATCTCGACGATGTGATGGAGGGTGGGCAAAATTTAGAGAAGGTCATGGAGAGCGTACGCAGCTGGCTCATGGAGCGAGACGTCGAGGCTCTTATCGCCGAAGAAGGACAGGTTAAATAAGCGCCCGACTACGCTCATGGTACCGGACCCGCCATCCTGGAAATAATTACGCGGCTTGGTTCTTTAAATGTAACAAGCTGGTGCGCTGTGTCTCGGAGCAGAATCTGGCATGTTAGTCCTGTTTCTTAGACGGCAGCGGCCTCAGCAATATCCAATCATGTCTCTCGATGAAAAGGCTACCGGTTACAAGCACATCGAATAGCCGACTACTTTTTCAAGACATGGGCAAGGAACCCTTCGGTAGATCTATGTACGATGTATCGAGCTCAATCCTCTTTCGCCTCGCGATCGCCATGTTCCATTGAGGCTTTGTGAAGATGTTGCCATCGCTTCATGAATCACTTCTGCACCTAACTCTTTGCGCTACCATTGTCGCGGTTCCGACATGAGATTTTTCTTTAGCAAGAGTTAAAGAGGGGTTTGAGATGTATTGCTCCTGGCCATCGACTGCTACCGCTTGAACAGATTGGGCTCGCTTTGCCTAGCCATAATGCGGGGCTTGGATATGTAAGTAACCGCAGAGCATATTTCCAGGAACGCGTGACTGGAACTTTAGCTCTTGATTCGCTCACGATCTAGAACTCAGATGGCACATAGCCAGATCATTGGTTCAGGCCGAACGAAACCAGGTTAGGCACTTGAGTATCCGTCATGTCAAAATCTCTGGATAAATGTATTAAGAACTTTGTGGGATAATACGAGCTTAGGTCATCGCCAGGAAGTTTATCACGGCCGTAGAAATTCCTTTTCTCATTATAACAATTGATAGTATGACGGATACCTCGGACTATACGGCTAGATCTGACGACGCCACGCTTTGCTCTGCACTCCACCGATCGCGGCACGTTTTATCACTAAACGCCACGATATATCATACATAGCAGCAGTTGCACCATTGTGGCGGTATCACTCGTTACATTCGAGAAGCTATCGATCCAATCTGCGGGGTGCAGGGTGCATTTTACCGAAAGTTATCAGTTGTCCAGACTCGCCCTATTGGATTTCGTAAAGATCGAGTCATTCTTGTTGGCAGCCAGTATTGAATGACAAGAACCAGTCCAGCAGGTCTACGTCTGTCATCTGTTCCCCGCACCTTTAGAGGGAGCTAACGCGACCTTACCCCGGATTTTTGCTCCAGCTGGCCCTACAATGGTGGGTCTCATACCCGCTACTGGCAACGCTAGTGCGCCGTTAAGACATGTCAAGCTGGTACTGTAATGATGATCTAGATCTTCAGGAAGGAATTAAGTGGGATTGCGGGGTGCATTGGCATAAGACAGCACATATTTCCCATCTAGAATTGCCAGTTCTTCGAGTGTGGAGCTTTTCTTCCTACGACATTCACACCAGCGGTTACAAGGTTATACCGTATTAGGAAACAACTTCAAGATGGCAGAAACGAGGAGAGTCGACTATGCGAACGAGAAACAAGAAGTCAGCTATGCAGAGAATGCACATGAACCTGCTGATTCGTCTTTGGATTTGCAAAAGGAGATGACGCTTCAAGGTGTCGACATGAAGAACACTCACGCCGTCAAGGGAGACGACTCTGACGGCAAGATCATCTGGAGTGTGCGTAGTATCTTCGCCGCCATCTTCCTTGCTGCTCTTTACACCGGTAAGATGAATAGGATACGTCACTGCGTGAAGCTTTTGAGAACTGATTCCAAACAGGATCGCAGATCATTCTCTACTTCACTGGCGGCTCTCTTGCCTTTATTGCCGCTGATAACAACATTACCACTGGAATTGCTTGGCTCCCAACTGCAAATATTCTTGCTATTGCAGCGGCGTGTCCGTATGCTGGCTATCTCCAGGATCTCTTTGGGAAACGCTACATTGCCCTATTCGGCTCATTTTGCATTTGCGTCGGATGCGCACTGGTAGGCTCCGGTCGCTCGTATGCTCAACTGGTCGCTGGCACGTCACTCTCGTCGCTTGAAGCAACTTATTCTGACAGCGATAGGCATGGCCATTTCCGGTATCGGTGCTGCCATTGGAGAATTGACTGGTCTCGCTGGGTAAGTTCTCTAAACACCAAGCTTCAGCATCGAATGCCAACTCTCCATCTTTTTTAGTCTTGCAGAAGTTGTACCCGTAAAGTACCGAGGATACTCGCTTGCCCTCGTCACAGCTTTTGTTATCCCATTCTGCCCATATTTAATATACGTGGAGATGTGGTCGCACCATGACACCACGGTGGGCTGGCGATGGGGCCCTTGGGTCTCCCTCATGTTCAATGGTATCGTGGGCATTGGTCTCGCATTCACATATTTCCCGCACAATCAAACTCGCGCAGAAGGGTTCTCGCGCATGGCAATTCTCAAGCGTATTGATTACATTGGAGGTTTGCTTTCCATCACGGGCTTGACGCTATTCCTTGTCTCGCTCCAGGCAGGCGGATATTCGCACCCCTGGAAATCGAGCTATGTTCTTGGTACCTTGCTCTCTGGTCTTGCACTCATTGCTGGCTGGATTGTCTGGGAGGCCAGGTTTGCTCGCCACCCGATGATACCACGAGAGCTGTTTAAAGGTCAACGGATTGTCGGCCTGGCTTATGTCGTCGCATTTACTGCTGGTATGAATTTTTTCTCCATGTAAGTGGCCACTATCATATTTGTTCATCTCTACACACACACTAATCCCGCCTGTAAAGCCTTAATTTCTTCCCCATCACATTCACCAGTGTGTACGATCCGGTCCCCATTCGAATTGGACTGCGTGGTCTGGGTCCCGGCCTCTGCACCGCCGTCGGCGCCATCGTGTTCAACGCAGCTCTCTCCAAATTCCCCTACCACACTCGCGAAGTTCTGCTCCTCGCCGTCGTCCTCATGACCACGTTTGCCGGTGCACTCGGAGCCTCGACACCAGAGAATGAGAGTATGACACTTGCATTCGGGTCGATTGCTGGGTTTGGTGTGGGCGGCGTGCTCGTCCCCGCTGCTACAATCGCCATGTTGGTGTGCCCCGATGCTATTATTACTACCGCTGCTGCACTCTCCCTGTCTATTCGTACCGTCGGTGGGACAATCGGTTATTCCATCTATTACAACATCTTCATCACGAGGCTCACTAAGAAGCTACCCTTGTACACCGCAGAGTATGCGGTCAAGGCTGGTCTGCCTCTTTCCTCGGAAGAGTCCTTTGTTGGACTCTTCCTCATAGAGCCAGCGAAACTAGCAACGACGCCGATTCCAGGGGTGACGCCCGCGATCGTTGCGGCGGCGACCAGGGGCACGCAGTGGGCGTACAGTGAGAGCTTGAAATATGTCTGGGTATGTCCGATATAGTGTTTGCAAGCGTTGAATGGCGATTAGGCTGATTTACAAATAGCTCACGTCAATTGCTTTTGGGAGTGTGGCTGTAATCTGCACGATCTTGCTACCCAGTACGGCCAAATATCAGACCAATCGTGTTGCTGTGCAGATTAGCTAGGCTCTACATGATGGTGGGAGAAGAAGTGGAGTTCGAAGACAGTCGATCTTGATAAGGTATGCAATCACAGATTGGTGTCCAGAATTGCTGTTTAATCATTATCAAAGCCTGCCTTGCTCTGAAAGAAACAGCTTCACACTTATGCGAGACGCCGTTGGATGTTTTCTCTCTCTCCAGAATCGTTCAAGCTCAAATGCTTAAATATCCTGAAAGATGTGACTGGTATCGTGCGCAAAGCTTGTAGCCTGGACCGCGATCCTTTGACTAGGAGTTGGTGATAGGGGCCTGTCAACCGTAAGCACAAGAGCATGTGAAGGGAAATGATGAACATGAACATCTCGCAAGAATCAAGGCAAAATTTGCTTCCAAATTGTATTGAAGCTACTACAGAACGCCTGCGGTATTCTAAGAACTCTCTAGACGACTTTTCCAGCGGAGTGAGAGAACAAAGGCAAAAGTGGGATCACACCCTCAACTTTTCATAGACCCAGACGTATATCGAGAGCCCCTGTACCAACCCAGGCTTCCGCTTTACTCTTTCCGCGAGTCCCTCTCTTCGCTTTGACATAACCTTCTCCTCTATCCAGATCCTCAAGATTGCTAGAATCAAACTTGAGCTCACCGCTGTCAATCCTACCCTCCATGCTTCCGTACCAGCTGTACGGGTACCGCAAAGTCATTTTCCCGTCTTGGACGCTGTGATCACTGATAGAATTGAGCATGGGATCGTAAGTTCCATTCAAGGATTGCTGCCAGGATTCCTCAATCCAGAAATCGACGTCGCCCGCGTTCGACCTGGTGTAGATTTCGCTCAAAGTCTCCGATGTAGGTAGACCAAAGGGCAGGATGTATGCATCGATATTGCCGCTTTCGGTTGAGATATTGGTGTATCTGCCGTGTACTGTTTGGGATTCTATGTCGCCTGATGTGCTGTGTACCTTCGTGGAATGTGTGAGTGCGAATGCCGTCCAATACTCCACACTAGCTTGGATATGGATACTACCCGAGTTTGACACAACAGTAAGACTTTCGGGGCGGTAGTACGCTCCATAGTTTGGTACGTAGAAGATGCCAATTGAGCCGCTGTCGCTTTTGAGTGTGATATTGCCATGCGCGACATAGTACCCAAACATGGTCCCTGTTCCTACGCTCGCGTAGATGTTGTGAACTACGACTTCTTCCTCCCAGCCGTTTGCTTCAAATGTCGAGTCTCCGTGGGTGGTGTGTATATGAAGATGCTTGATGTCCCAGTTGAGTTTGTGGTAGAACCAGATATCTAGGTTTTCCGACCAGATCGCAAATGTATCCAAGAGCTTTTTGGGCTCTGGACGAAGGTAGACCAAGACTTTGATGTCTGTACAGGAATTTCCGTTTTCAGAGGGAATGTAGTTGATGTCGAGCGATGTTTCTGAGATCTCAAAAGTGATATTGCGCAGTTCTTCCTCATCACTTGATTGTGAGATGACATGGACTTCAATGTCTGATTGCTGGGACGCATTACCACGCAGTATACTGATCTGACCTTGTAGCACCCGCTGTTGGCTGGATGTTGAAGAATCATTCAACCGCCATACTGTAACGTCGCTATCGGTGGAGATATTGTACCCAGATTGCCAAGATTGAGTCGTAGAAATAGAAGGGCAGTCTTTGTATTGCGGTTTGTATCGCAACATTTCAGGAATGCTAGTGGACCATTGAGGCTTATCATGAGCGCCGACGGAACGGGGAGCACCACATGGACTGTAGCGTCTCCAAAGAATTATAAAAGCGATTGCTAGGAGGCCAGCTTGAAGAGTGCTGAGACCCAATCTCCTCACAAAACATGAACGACATTTCTCACTTTCAACCTAGAAATCAAATCAGTCTCAGGACTCATCCGGTGTTGCCAGGACTCCTCCGTACGTACCACTGCACGAGCCTGGTCGTGCCCAGACTTTGGCGAAGAACCGTAGCTCACTTCCTTCATCGTTCTGTCGTTTCCTCACAGGCACAACAATGCAGCGAGCTAAAAAAAAGTGGCTAGATGAGAAAGATGCGACATTTCATGATGAGCCAAGTATGTAGATGTTAAAGGTTCGATGAGACTTCGCCTGAGATGATGGATGCCTTGCAGAAGTAACACCCACGCCGCACTAGCTTGAAACGCGGGGCGTAAGGCTGACAACGTGGAAGCTGTTGCCAACAACACAATTTCTTCGCAAGACATTTAATAGCCTCAAAATACTGGGTCCGCGTAGAGCCTAACCGTTTCTATGAGCTAATAAACGTAATCATGAAATTAGGTGCGATTTGCTACCACGCCTCCGCTTTGGTCTTTGTTTTGAAGTCATTATAAATTACATTAATCCTAGTTAAGCATTTCCGGATACTACCTACAAGACTTGATGGAATCCTGAATATAAGACCGTAAACCTTCTTAGTTTGAAGGGTGGATGTAGCAACGACCAGCCTCAGGCAACCAGGACGGACTCCGAAGCCTCCAGACGATATAGACACTTTGCAAACCCCTGTATTCAAAGTACCGGTAAGGCCACATCCCATGAATAACCTAATGGGTTGCTCCCTGACATCGCTCTAAGAACCCGATGTGTCGAATGGATCATTTTTTGCCCACCAGCAGACCAGCATTTCAGCGCTTCAACGACTCAAGGCGATCCTAGGTTTTACCACCACAGCTACATGTATATTCGAACCCACATAATTTTAGCGAAACGCTTACTGGTCTGGGGATTGAATTACCGCCCGTACCAGGTGGTCGATAGCTTCATCCACCACACTTCCACATGAGCAAATATTAACTCTTTTTCCTCTTACCGGGAATTACGCCGGGTGGTTCAGAGTCCAGTTGACAATGTATCCACCTTACCTAAACACTGCGCCCAAGTTTTGGGGCCGTAAATTGAGGCCAAGTGAGCAACCATCATCGAGGCCCGCCAGGCACCGCATAGCTTCTACATCTAAGCATCATGCTTGCCCTTTCCAACCCCGTGAAAAGGGCGATTGATGATGATCCTATGCTCCATGGATTCTCTTCTGTATGGCCTTGAAGCTGCCCAGCTTACATAGTTGAAAAAACTTGGGATAGCTGTGGAATCCTAACCATAGCCTTGTCTGCCAATATGAAGAAGAACTTTGTATTTGAAAGATATTTAAACATAGGGAGTAGACATCAATCATGTCGTCCATATCGCTGTCTTGACGAGAATCACTTTACTCTCACCACAGTCAACTTTCCTTTTTAATCAAATCAAATCGATCTTGAAGATGTGCTACATAACGTATCTATCACTTGTAGTCTTGCTATCAAAGGCACTTGCATATCCCCAGCCGATTGCTCAGGAGTCTGATGCGCCAGCCAAATTTATATTTGGAGCCATGGGCGACTCATGGGGTGTAAGTGGGCATCGTGTCTTTATCAATCAAGCTAACAACCAGCAGAGTGGCGTCTCCTGGAGTTCCGGGACACAATATGACGACAATAGTGACAACTGCATGCGCTACAAGTATGCATGGTCCACTGTCGTGAACAATTCCTACGACAGATGGACACCAAAGACCGACCAGACATCACAGTTTGAGTTCCAGGCGTGTTCTGGCGCGCGCTTGGAAGATATGCCTCGCCAGATGGACAAGATGACACGGCCCAAACTTGTGCTCATGGAGGCGGGCGGGAACAACGCAGACTTTTATCCCATGGCAGAGGCCTGTCTCTTCCGTAACAACCGTGACAAGGATTACGGAAAGTTCTACGAGGACGATGACCCGGAGAAGCCTGAAGGACAATGCAGGAGAGAGATTGGCCTGGTGAGAGGCAGACTGACAAACCCGGCCTCAGACCCCAACGAGCGCAGCGTGAAGGACAAGGTTATAGATACTATCAAGGCGTGGAGATACCACCCCTCGGTTGGCGGTAACGAGGCCAGCCTATTTGTACTTGGTTATCCTTGGTTCTTCGGCCTTGACTCAGCGTGTAATGACTGGACCTTTAGCGTTGTATACGCCAAAGAGAAGCAAAAAGTCGTCAGCGCAATGAGGCAGGAATTCAACGATCTCGTGGGTCACTCTCATCAACCAGAAGATGACGAAACTGACACAATTCCCCCTGTAGATCAATATGATGAATACGGCCATCCGAGAAGCTGTGGAAAGCTACAACGACGAGAAGATTCAGTATATTGACATCAATCCTGCCTTCCACCAGCACCGCTTCTGCGAGCCTGGACACAGTCGACTCGCTCAGTTCAACTGGGGAGACGATGTTTGGCTGTGGAACAGCCCTGGCAGATGGGTCACCATCAAGAATGGAGATGGGACGACGACATATGATACCATTGATGGAACTCTGCCACCCGCAGATGTAGTCAACGCTTTGTTGGATCACCCTGTTGATTCACCCAGAGAAGATGGCGGCTGCTCCGTCCAGGTCTATCAAGATCCCGCGAACCCAGACACGACCATGGAATGGAAGGCGTGTGCACAGGATTATGTCTTGGCTGGTAGCAATGCTGGTGGCTCCATTGCTAGAACGTTGCATCCTACGCAGAGTGGTCATGCGGGCATGGGCGATATCATCATTCAACGACTTGAACAGTATTATGGGCGTACCGACGATACGACCATAATCTTACCGACGCCGAACTGCCCCTTTGGCTGCGATTGCTCGGGCATTGTCCCTGTCTGCACCTGAGCATTGCTAGCAACGTACCATGTAGCTATATATATTTGATAAAACAGTGTCAATCGATAAAAGCTCTTTTATCTATCTGTTTGACTGCCTTGTGAACATCCACACTGCTTCGCTCACGGACGTACGTTGATCTTCAAGAAGCGAGCCCTAGTTCCCGTTTGCCTGGAGATTCACCTCGTCAGATGCTTCTCTGCAGATGATGTTTTCAATCGGACTATCTGAAAAGGTGACTGATCTCAGCTGCAATTGACAGAGAGTTGTTCAACATAGAGAACTGGCTCGGCATGTTTTGTATTAGTACTCGCATAAGTTTCGTTAGCTAAAATAAGCTACAACAGACACTCTTCCACTTTTGGCATGACGATTGAGTTTCGTGGTTGCCAGGATGACGGCCATCAAAGGATGCAGGGAATGGCCAATTCGTCTCCAAATAATCTTTCTACCTATCGAACAGCGAGAAGTTCCAAACGAAGGCTCGCTGCTCTTTCTGCCGTTCTACCCCAATACTCTTCCCATTGAGCATCGTTTGTCGACGGAAATTTTTGGGAGACATGCATATGGAGGAACCAAGCTCTTAGGGTGCATTCTATATTGGGTATCTGGTGTATGATATACGTTGTGTCACGTGTATACTTTTAATTATGGTATCAAGTCGACCGTAAGACCTCAACTCGACGGCTTCGTCCGCCCATACCTCTTACGCCAGCTCTGCACCCCTCTATCAATCTCATCACGCGTCACTCCATCCTTGATGAGCTGCATCGTAACGCCCAAAACCTCCACATTCTTGTTCCGACTCTCATCGTCAAAGAACAGCATCTCTTCAAATTCAACACCGCTGTCCTTGTGTATCCTATGAAAATGCGTCTTCTTATCGCCAGGATAAATCTCTTGGTAATCAAAGTAGTCTATCGCGCGTGTGGACGCCCCAGATGCGCTGGGGATCTTGAGCAGTTTCAACATCTCGCGACCGAGGTCTGGGGCCGAGGTGCGTGAGGCGGCGCCAATGAGGATGGATTTTTGTTTGAGCTGGATTTTGTGAGTTTGGATGGGATATTGAGTAATCTACGGGGGGACTGTACTGCTTCTAATATGCCGCCTACATCGTTGTAGAAGCCGTAGCCTTCGCCATAGCGATCCTTGACCTTTAGGCCGCCTTCTGTAGGTTTGAGCGGTCCTGAAACATGCGTGTCAACCCAGAAGGGCCATAATGTGTAGTCCAGGTCGAAAACGACCATCTTGGGGAGTGGGAGGCCATCAGTGAATGTTGATGGCCATTCAGTCTTCTCTGGTAGTGTTGTAGTGGGGGTTGTGTCAGTCGAGGCTGCTGCGTTGGGGCCGCGGCGGGGCATGATCAGCCACAGAAAAGCGCAGGAACGCGGGTCGTTGAAGTATGGAGAATGCAGTGATTGTGAAGACGATGTAGATAAATGTTCGGAATATTGCCAGCTTGCTGTATGTGCGGTTTGAGGATTTGTATTAGACCACGAAAGATTTTGGCGTGCTTACCGGTACGGTACTCAACCCAGCCCACACCATTCTTTATCGCAATATCGCGGTCTGAGCATGACGTCGACGCGTCGCCCAACAACACCATAATGAACTCACTACGTCCTATCCTTAGCCTAGCCAACTCCTAAAAAAAATCATCTGCCTTACCAAGTAGCTTCTGTAAAACCCCTAATACACCTACCTGCCTTCCCTTACCACAAACGCGCTCTCACGTGACCGCGTACTCAACCCAACTGCCGGGGGGTATATCTACTCACGAAAGAAGAGCCCTAACGCTAGATATCGATATTCTAGTGCTGTGATTTACCAATCACCAAGACAGCGGCTATACAACACCAAATTTCCTACAGCGAAGCAACGCAAAAGAAAACGACAATATGCCGTCCGTCGCAGAACTAATGGACATATACCTCTCCTTTCATACTTTCGTCTCAGCAGCACATCAATCCCTCAACCAGGTGGTACTCAGTAGTACTCCCCAGGCAACCGCTCATATGAAAAAATTAAAATAACAAAAGCGCTTATAATCGTGAGAGACAAGATATTACTGGTTTGACTCCAATTGTGTAAAACCTACATTTAAATCGCCCCTGTCTGCGTCAGCCCAGAGCAAGGGAGACAGAGAGAGAAAGAACCCAGTCCTAAGAGCTTTAGAACCCAAAAGCATCTAACAAGCTATTCGCATCCGGTTCCTTGAACTGCGTGGGCGGGGGTTTCTTCTTCGGCTCTTGCTTGACCCTCTCCTCCACCTCGCCATCCTCGCCACCCTCCTCATCGTCATCAGTCTCTGACCCCTCCTCCCCACGCTCATCCACCCCATCCCCGATCCCATTCCCAATCCCAATCCCAACCCGGCCCTGATCTCTGACCGGCAAATCTGCAACAACAAGACTACTCCGTCTGCGCAACAACTTCCTTGGGTCAAAGCCCACTTGCTTCGCTGGTATCCCACCATCGTCCCTTTTCTTTGTGGCAGAAGAAGGTAAAGGAGGCGGGAGAAGAAATTCCCACCTCCTCACGAGATCAAGAGCGAGTACGTCGCACCCCATACGGCCATACAGCGCACAAGTATGCATGACGAAATCCCATTCTTCTCGGCCCAAGATACCCATTGCACCTCTCAGCGTCTGTAGGCTCTTGTCCCGGAGTTGTTTGTACAAGACAACGAGCGCTGGATCATCGCTGAGATAGCTCTTTGCTTTGAGATTCGGCGTTTCGGGGAGATTAATAAGGCGATGGAGTGGCGTGATCAGTGCTTGGACTGCTGTGTCCCGGCGGTTAAGAAGCCAATAGGCCCAGGTCGCGAGCCAGCGATTTCCTTCCCTCGCGGCTTGTGGGAGGATCTTATCTCTCAGGAAGTTCAAGAGGACAGGGGAGTCATCTCCGCCGTATACACGCGCAACGGCAATGGCGAGTTGAGTGTCGCCGAGCTGGTTGTGCAACACGCTGACGGCGTCTTGAAGATGGTCTGCGAGTAGGAAGAACGACGCTGCGTACTCGAATCTCCGGCGTCCCATGAGTGCGTATGCGTTCTTGAGTGCAGCCGTCTTCCAACGCTCCTCGTTGAAGTTGTTGCTGAGAAGACGGTGAGTGGCGCCTTGTTCGCGGGACCAAGTGGCTATGCGCCAGAGGCCTACAAGGACGGGTTTCTTGCGGAGTGCAAGGTAATAAAGAGCGCAGTCTACAGGGTTCTTCTCCTCAGTCTTAGTGTATTCATTGCGGGCTATCACTTCGAATTGGGAGCGCTATTGCAAGAGTCAGTCATGATCAAACAGTAGATTCAGAAGCCAGGAGGCTCACCAAGGCGTTGATATCATTCAGCCACATGAAGACTCCGCATTCTTTCGCATGTTGCCATAACATCTTGCCGTTGAAGTGCCGGCTGACAAGGTCTACAAGGATATCTTGGCTGCTGGAGTGGAAGGCCCAGATAATTTCTCGCCAGGAGATTGGCCCTTTGTGTGCATTGCTGAGAACGTGCTGGCGGAAGAATAAAAGGAAGCGACCCGCATTATTATCAATGGAACGGCGATGCTTCTCTACCGTTCCAATACATTCGACAACGTCAGCCAAGTGGAATTGCTCGCGACTTGATAGCAGTGGTATCTGCTTGGTGGTGAGAAGGTCCTTGAGATTAGCAGCCACTTCCTCGGTCACCGCCTCGGGCTCATTGTCCTCGGAGAAATCGACATAGGAGCTATGTGTCTCCTTTCTGAGAGCAGTCATGTGTGTCTAGATCGATCAGGGGTAGTCTACAGCAAAGGACTTGTAATGCTTACCTCGTCCTCGCAAAATTCCTCCGGCAGAAAACCCAGAGAACTATCAAGCTCCTCGCCCTCGATCCAGAACTTGAGCTTCTGGTACAGGCGAATCAAGATCCTCTGCACCAGCAGCAATTTGCCAGCCAACACACATTGCGACAGTAATTGTGGATGATATACTGGCAGAGGGCCATTGAGACGACTGACAGCGGTAAATATGTCGATCGATGCCGTTTTGCGCGCAATCGTCCGCAAGCTTGGAAACATGGCTTCAGATACCTGGACATATTCATCTTGTATAAAAAGCTGGTTGCCCGCACCTATCACAAGGTTGCCACTACCCAACCACACGGAATCGCCGATTGGATGTGGTGTGATGTCCCGGATGCGTATATCTCGGATTTGCACCCACGATGGGCCAGCATTGAGGTAGTCATACCGCAGCTGCGCGTAAATAGCGATTCGATGTGGAAAGCCGACTGCGAGAATACTCTGATTATCAGGCGTTGATGACCAATCTAGGTCTTGTATAACCCCATTGCCTTCGAATGTCTCCTCATACTCTAGCTGAGCACTCCTAGTGTTCCAGATAGTGAGCGTTGTTCTGTCAGCGTCGACTAGAGCAGCCTTTCGTATTGAGGTGCCACTAGCAAGCGATGGCTCGCGAATGCTAGTTTCCACTTCAGATGTCATGAGCCACTCCAGCCTCTGCTCCTCTGCGTTGACCCTGGCTGTCCATGATTTAATGACTCCGGACTTGGTGTATGATATCGCGACATCACGTGCGAATGTGTCGAGGAAGCCTGAGATGGCCGGAGCCGAACCTGCTGGGTCAACAGGTAAGACAAAAGCAAGATCGTCACCTGAACCGAGATCGAACATGGAATGCTGTGTTAGGGAAGCTTGTGTATGGCCATTCGTGTGTCCATTGGTCGTTGCTATACTAGAAAGCTTGCGACCAGTGATAGGATCTCGATCTAGCGGTGGCAGTGTAATTTCCCAACATATCCCCTTCATGTCCGAGCTAATGGTAGCGATATGAAGGCTTCTGCCACCAGCCTGGGTCTCAGGAACGACTATCAAGCAAAGCGGTTTGCCCTGAAGCTTATAAGCACAGCGTGTCACTTCCTGGGCTTCGTACCCTCGTGTGTCCCAGAGAGAAATCTCATTGTGATGTAGAAAGACAAGAAAGTTGCCTTCTTGGAGCAACGCTGTTCGATGTATGTGTTCGGTGACTTTGACGCTACTGTGTCGATGCAGTGTCATGCCCTGATCACTAGGTCGTTGCAACCACACAATGCATTCGTCTGTGACAGTTCTTGATACGAGCGCACGACCACTGGGTGTTCGATTGACTTTCTTGATAGCGTGTGAGTGGCCTGTCCACATGGCCTTGCGCTGGATGCGCTGAGGTTGCGGCGACGGATCGAAGAGATAGTCGATGCGTGATTCCAGCCATTCGATGCGCCCGTCGAAATGGTGTGACAGGATGGTAAAGTCGTTGCCTGGCTTATCATCAATGAAAGCGTAGAATTGCACATTGTCTTCGAGAGCCTTCGGTTCCTTTGCGAAGTGCAGATGCAGCCCATCGACATGAGCAATGTTGAAGACATCTGTAATCTTCTTGCCCGTCGCGCCTATATTTTCAAAGCCCCACGCAGACATGTTGCCTCGGTCGTCCAATACGACGCAAATCTCGGGACTTCGGTGCGCGACCTCAATGAGATGATGCAGCGCAATGCCATGATCCTTTTCCTCTGGCGATGCTTGTTCCATAGCTCTTTCTGTGGCACGCGTAAAGTGCCTGCTATCGATGAAGAATGCGAACCGCTTGTACGACTGCTGATCCAGGGGTACATGTCGTGTCATGATGGATTCCATAAGGTCAACCTCAGCCCACATGTGCATACCATGCACCCCATGATGCTCGCCTGGGACCCAGACGCGCGCCTTGTGATCTGCGCAGATGGTGTACAGTACATTATCCGCTGGTTGATCCTTGTGGAGAGGGTGTCGCCAGTGCAGCCCGGTGATGGTCTTGGGGTGAGCCAGATAGAAGTATGCGAAGCTCTGGTCCGCCGAGCCAAACGATGTGCGTCGCCAAATCTTCAGCAGCCTGTCGTATTGGCCAGTCGATGCTATCAACTCTGCGTCGGGCGAGAAGTGGGCAAACTTGACGGGGTTGGCGAGTTGCCTCTCCCAGATCTGTTCGGTAACGTCGTGGGTATTGAAGAAGGTCAGCGAGGCACTGCCAGCCAGCAATTCGTCTGGCATGCCCCATGACAATGTCGTTATGGTGTCGTCCGGGTCCGTGAGAGCCATGCTGCCCTGCAGCGACCACTGCGCGCATCAGCATCCCTAAAAGCGCATTTGTCTCCCTGTCCACGCACCTTGATCGCGCCTTCATCTTGCCCATATGGCCGGTATATGTAGATATGGTTTGTTGAACAAGCTGCAAGCTTGCCTGTGGCTTCGTCCAACGCGACAGCCTCGAGTTCAGACTCCTCGTCAATATAGATGGTTTGGAGGACGTGGTTGGGACGATCAAGGACTACCAGCGCGTTGCCAGAGATGTAGGCCTGTTGAGCAAGCTTTGTCAGTTTCAGGGCACGGCGAAAGACGCAATCGCAGCCATCCTACAATGATCTGTACGCCCTCCCATAGGCCTTGGGCGACGGCTTGCAGCTTAGCCTGCGGCCGTCCTGGGAGTATTCCGCGCATCAATTGAGTAGACGACTATCGCGACTACGGCGACTGCATTGTGCCGACAAGAACAGTGGGCATGAGAGGATATCTGGGCAAAAGATCAGAGTGTCGTGCACGCGCTGCCGTAGGTCTCTTCAATGTCTTGCCATCATGCATGCATGGATCATTGGGTGCTGGGCTTCAGCGAGCTCACGCGCACGGTCCCACATCCAGTGTCGTCACATTTGGGTTGCGCCGGCTGGCTACGCTACTTCACAATGACAGGTCACACATACACAGGTAGAGAGTGCTCTCTTGGGATCCCAAAATCTTGCCATGTAATCTTTTGCATCATCTAAAAAGAGGGTAATAGGATAGTGAAAGATGTATTTGAGAGCTCTTGCAACGATTAGCTGAGCCGTCGTATTGCTGTAAGCGCGTTGTCGTCACTTTTAAACGTCCAAAGGTCTATCCGCCCGATCTGGCCTAGTCTATCCCCACCAATCAGCCCTATGAACGCCCAGATTGAACCCTTTTATATCATCCCAAACTTTTCATCAACTTCGCTGCCCATGCATCTGCTTTTATGCCATAGTCCTCTGTACTGACCCCTCAACTTCGCCCTGTTCACTCTTGCCCTTCCATTCCACCGTCACCGTGATACCACGGTCATCCCCCTTCTCCTTTGCATACGTCAAGGTACCCT